AATCTTTCCATCTTTGTGCGTATAATTTTCTCACTGCCATAATCATATATTGAAACCAAGTTCCATAGTCATTTTCTAATTGTATATCCATTCTGGTTTCAGTTGAAAGGTAATCTTAAAAATTCTCTGTATTAGTGGATGTATTTGTATCCAATCAATCAATCAATCAATCAATCAATCAATCAATGCTTTTTTACATGTCCATCAAGCATGATAAAATGTCCCATTTTCTTTTGCATTGCAGGCAGTGGTTCAAAGAGGTCTTTGAGCTGCTCAAAATGTACTGTCTCGTCTATGGGAAGTATTCATCTCACCCCCTGCTTATTCTAGCAAAATAAAGAAATGGATAAGAAGGAAAAACTTGAACTTGAAATTTGCACTTTTTATCTCATTGGAAACATTCCTGTTATCTACACACATTCTACAATTGCTTTCACAAATTCAGAAGCCGGAAGGTCCAAATGGAGATTCTGGAACTGACCAAATGCAGCATCTCATCAAGTCACAGAAAAGAGAAGCATGGAAGGCCACTGGAAAACCCACCTTTTTCATAGAAGAGCAACTCCATCACCTGTCGAATGTCAAATCTCAAATGCTTCTGACTGGAAAGACAATCTCTCACACAAGTTCCATCAATATGAATCAGTTTTATGTCCAAGATGGACTTGGACCTGGGGGAATGATTTGCCTAGCAAGATGAGGGTGGGGGGGACCTTTCCCAGATGGAAAATTTTGAAGCCCACCAAACAGCTTTGAGGCTGCCATACAATAGACTCTGTCCGAAGAGAGCGCTCTAGAAGAGATGTCTTCACAGTCCATTTCAGCCTCCCGTTCAATTCAATACAAGCAAACACAACCACCATTTCTGGCTCTAAGGATCCATTGGGGTGCAAGCCAGCCTAGGACAAGATTCAAGTTACCTTTGAGAAAAATGCTACTTGATATTTAACTGTTACCTGACTCTTGCTATATATTTTTAAAAAATATTTGTCACTGCCTCTATTTATTTGTTTAAATTATATTTTGGTTAAAACTTTATTTATTAAACAAGCATTTAATATTCAGGTATTATTTATATAGGTGTTATAGCTTTAACTCCTCAAATGCCTTTATTTTTCTATGTGTTTTTGTGCAATAAATGTTTTCCTATGAAATGGAATCCCAATTTCCCCCTGGTTGAATTTTGTAGCTTCTGGGTGCTCTAGAGAGAGCTGCAATGGATGTTTTTCTCTCATTGGAAATTGTTCTTTGATAGTTCACCTGATCCTTCTTTTGAGTTTTGTTGCCTTGTTATTATTTTATTCTTCCCAGTCTCAGAAATATTTTATTGACAAGCAGGCTACACATTCCTTCCTTCCTTCCTTCCTTCCTTCCTTCCTTCCTTCCTTCCTTCCTTCCTTCCTTCCTTCCTTTCGTGTGTCCCATATTCCATACCCTCCAAGTTTTCTCCAATGAAAATAGGGATATTCTAATAATAATAATAATAATAAGAAGAAGAAGAAGAATACTAAATACCCCATCTATCTGACTGGGTGGCCACAGTCACCCAGAGTGACTAAACTACTTCCCTACTTCCCTACAGCCCTGGGGCTGCCTTCAGATGTCTTCTAAAGCTTGTCTAGTTACTTATATCCTAGGTTCGGGGGTTGCATAACTCCATACTGTCCAAGATTTCTCCGATGAAAATAGGGACATCCTATGAAAAACCAGGACATTCTGGAATCAAATCACTGCTTCTGTAAATCTGGGACTGTCCCTGGAAAATAGGAACACTTGGAGGGTCTCATCATCTTCCACATCCCACTGTCATGAATGTATGCAGCTGAAACAACAAAAGCAGAGATGACAACTTGAATAAAATACTGGGGAGGCCCCCAGGTAAGCCTTGCCCCACATAATTGATCACAAGACGCAGTACACAAACACCATTTGAATGGCAATGCCCATTAACTTGGGAGGAGGTGGCCCCCTCATATATTTAGTCCCTTCAGGTCCTAGGAATCAGCTCCTATGGGCAGAGGCTATTGAGATGTTATCCATAAAGGGCCCTTGATAGATGCAAGCTATCATGTGTGAATCAGACCTCTACGGACTAATATAGACCGTGTAGCTCAAAGGTGGAAGTGAAAGCTGGACCATAAAGAAGGCTGATCGCCGAAGAATTTATGCTTTTGAATTATGGTACTGGAGGAGACTCTTGAGAGTCCCATGGACTGCAAGAAGATCAAACTTATCCATTCTGAAGGAAATCAGCCCTGAGTGCTCACTGGAAGGACAGATCCTGAAGCTGAGGCTCCAAGACTTTGGCCACCTCATGAGCAGAGAAGACTCCCTGGAAAAGATGTTGGGAAAGATGGAGGGCACAAGGAGAAGGGGACAACAGAGGACGAGATGGTTGGATAGTGTTCTTGAAGCTACCAGCATGAGTTTGACCAAACTGTGGGAGGCAGTGGAAGACAGGAGTGCCTGGCGTGCTCTGGCCCATGGGGTCACGAAGAGTCGGACACGACTAAACGACTAAACAACAACAACAAGCTCAAAGGTGGAGAACTTCTGGCCCTCCCTATCCTGTTGGACTCTAATGGTCAGTTTAGCCAATGGTCAGGATGATGGGAGATGGACTTCAGCAGCATCTGAAGGTTCCCCACTCCTGGTGCAGACCACCAAAGCTTCTTACTTCAATTGGGAGATATACCAATGTCCCCAAATGAGCAGAAATGAACTAGCTTACTAGGATCAGCATTTGCTCCCAAGGCCACATTTGGGGATGGGCAAAACCTTGAAGCTTTGCTCCTGCGTTTATGGAGGGAAGGCGACACTGATCCAGTGTTGTTACAAGTCCATAGTAAGAGATGCAATCTCTGAAAACAAGAGCGAAACAGTCTTCATGCTCTATCGCTAGAACATGCAGTCAATTAAAACAGTTATTGTTATTCAAATGGTAGAGGTTTTTTGGTGTGGTTTTTTTAATGCTTCACTTCTAGTAAAGTTATTTTCTGGTGCTAAAGAAGTCCTTTCCCAATGGGTTGTAGATCTTGCTTGCAATTTTCTACAATTTTCCACTGTGTTCCTATACAGAACGCTAGAGGGCAACATGAGACTACAGCTACTCTTGCTGAAAATTTGTACTGTAGCATGAACAAATTTGAAAGGACAAGTGGGACCTGTAACAGAATGTGGTTGTGTGGGACGCTGCTGTTCAGGGTTCAAGCCAGCTAGCCATGGTCTGTGCCAGGCTATTCCATTCTACTGCCCATTACCAATTTTCTAGTCTCTTTCACCCACCCCAGACAGACACGCCACCTTCTGTGGTCACTGAGCCTGTCCAGTATCCCCTGGCATGCTTTGCAGCACTGGAGGGGGAACGCCGTCAGAGGGATCCCCCCAAAAAACTCTCCTTGCATTTCTTGTTTGGGCTACAATCCTGTTGGTACTCAGAAGGCTGTTCGCCGAAGAATTGATGCTTTTGAATTATGGTGCTGGAGGAGACTCTTGAGAGTGCCATGGACTGCAAGAAGATCAAACCTATCCATTCTTAAGGAAATCAGCCCTGAGGGCTCACTGGAAGGACAGATCGTGAAGCTGAGGCTCCAATACTTTGGTCACCTCATGAGAAGAGAAGACACCCTGGAAAAGACCCTGATGTTGGGAAAGATGGAGGGCACAAGGAGAAGGGGACGACAGAGGACGAGATGGCTGGACAGTGTTCTTGAAGCTACCAGCATGAGTTTGACCAAACTGTGGGAGGCAGTGGAAGACAGGAGTGCCTGGTGTGCTCTGGTCCATGAGGTCACGAAGAGTCGGACATGACTAAACGACTAAACAACAACAACCTGTTGGCACTCACCAAGAGAGTTCCTTCTTGAAGATAGGAGACCTGGAGACACCAGTGGGCATCCAGCTGTTGAGTTGAATGGAACCTAAGCATTCACAACGTTCTTCCAATTCCACACACACAAAAAGAGAGCACATCTCCTCAGTTCTCCAGTCCAAGCAATCGTCAAGTGGACACAATAGCTATTTACTGTCCTCGCCAATAGCCATCGCAGGACAGCAGTATGGTTGCTGGTGGAAATGAGCTCAACTGGCACATAGAAATCAAATTATTTATTTAAACAATTGCTTAATTACAAAGGTCTCTAAGCAGTTTACAAGGGAGACAATAAAAACCTAAAAATAAGATAAGACTATGGTATTTACTGGGACATGGGTGGCGCTGTGGGTTGAACCACAGAGCCTAGGACTTGCTGATCAGAAGATCAGCGGTTCGAATCCCCACGACAGGGTGAGCTCCCGTTGCTCGGTCCCAGCTCCTGCCAACCTAGCAGGAACAGGATATCCCTGTTTAAATCAGAAATGTTGGTGGGTATGGAGTTATGTGACCCCCGCCCCGAGCCAAGGAGATAACTACACAACCTTTAGAAGACATCTGAAGGCAGCCCTGTATAGGGAAGTTTTTTAAATGTTTAATTATGTTTGTATATACATTGTAAGCTGCCTAAAGTGGCTGGGGCAACCCAGTCAGATGGGTGGGGTACAAATATTATTATTATTATTATTATTATTATTATTATTATTATTATTAAATAGGACTCCCTATTTTCATCAGAGAAATGTTGGAGGGCATGATATGTGTCAGAGGCATGCATGTTATTTTTACAATTTGAAATAGCTTAAATGACAGGGACGTCACATATGCAAATTGTGAACTGGGCTCCAAGCGCAGTTTAAAACGAAACAAAAACCCCAAGGTATTTAAAAGGTGAGTAGAATGGAAAGGGAATGCCAAAGACCAGCCCTGACTTCTAAGCAGCCTATCTGTTGGGCAGATTTTCACAATTCCAGGGACATATCTCCACGAAGGACTCTTGAATTCCATCATTATCAGCAACTTCCTGGCAACTCTGGAAAGCGCCTTTTGGAACAGGGCAAACCTTTTTCGCTGCTGAACTTGGCTGCTGTTTCAGAAAGTTGTGTGTGTGTGTGTGTGTGTGTGTGTTGGTGTGTGTTGCAATGCTGGCCTGACGTGGTGAAGAAGGGAAGGCAAAGAGGAGGGGAGATCTCTCTGAGCTCAGCCCAGCTGTTGCAGCTGTGAGGAAGAGGAACACACACACACAGCTCAGAAGATCTCGGCTCACTTGAGCAGCTGGAGCAGGGACAACTGAACCAAGGTAAGGCCAAGATGGTAGAAGCAATGACATGCTGGGAGCCAGCTGTCATCTAGGCAGGAATCTCCTCAGCGTCCTCTCGCTGCCGTGGGGAAGGCAGAGGCTGCCCAATGTACCGGACAGAGGCTTTCATTCCAATAAGCTCGCCTTGAACAGGAAGGGCAGTTCCTCTTTTCTGGTTTCGGTGGAGAGTTGCTTCATCGGCATTTTGGCACCGAGATCAAGGAAAAGGACCGAGGAACCTGATCTCAGGGGCTCAGGAGGACAGCAAGTGCTGCTTTCCGGTGGGGGTGTTGAGATCTCCTGCGGGGTGCAACGCATCCACCAATAAGCTCACGCCAGAACATGTGGGCAAAGCCCTGTTTTATCCTGGCAACCATCATGGGAGTGAGTTAGTCTGAAAGAGAGGATCCCAGAGGAGTCTTCACTTGGAACCAGCTCCCCCCACCAGGAGGCAAAGTGAAGGAAGCTGCTTCAGAGGGCACCATAAAGTGGGGATGAGGCCATAGATAAAAGCATGAATTGATGTCTAAATGGGGCAGCAAGACTTTTCAAAGTATTAGTCCTATGTAGGAGGGAACGAGGCAGTTTCCTGCTTTGGGTAGCAACATGTCTCAGACCATTGCAAACTGTCTACTATCCCAGATTATGAAGAGCCTTGATGTGGTATCTTACAATTGTCAGAAGTCCTTGTGCATCTTTCTTAAGCCAATGGTACACTGTGGTCTAAACCACTGAGCCTCTTGGGCTTGCTGATCAGAAGGTCGGCAGTTCAAATCCCGGCATGAGACATCAGGACTGGGGGCAAGATGGCGGGGTGGGAGCAGGAACGGGGGTCCAGAAGCCAGGAGTCAGGAAGCCAAGAGTCCAAGGATCAAGAAGCAAGGAGTCAAGAGGTCAAGGGTCTGAGGATCAAGAAGCAGGGAGTCAAGAAGCCGAGGGTCCGAGGGTCAGGAACCAAGGAGTCAAGAAGCCAAGGTTCGAGGATCAGGAAGCAAGAAGCCAAAGGCAGGAAGCATGTTGCTGTGGCAAAGAACCAAAGGGAAATGCTGACTTTATATCCCTTGCCGGCTCTTGCCACCAGGTGCAGCGAGTTACCAATTGGCCTCACCTGTGCGGCCACACCTTGCCTCTTCAGAACAAACTTAGGAAGGCCCCAATCCTGCAAAGGCCTGGCTCCTGCACGCACGCCTGGCACTCTGTCCCAGCTCCTGCCAACCTAGCAGTTCGAAAGCATGCCAATGCAAGTAGATAAATAAGTACTGCTGTGGCAGGAAGGTAAACTGTTTCTCTGTGCGCTCTGGTTTCTGTGACGGTGTTCCATTGCACCAGATGCGGTTTAGTCCTGCTGGTCACATGACCCAGAAAAGCTGTCTGTGGACAAACTCTGGCTCCCTCGGCCTGGAAGCGAGATGAGCGCTGCAACTCCATAGTTGCCTTTGACTGGACTGAACTGTCCAGGGGTCCTTGACCTTTTACCTTTAGTGTGCTGCAGAGAAGTCATGAGGTCATTTTCTTTGCCATGAGAGATGTGTGAAGATCCCTTTGTAAGTTCTTTGGCTGTATGTAGAACGGCTTCCACTATCGGAGGCAATCAGCCTCCGAACGCCAGTTGCTGGGAAACGCAAGTGCTGTTTCCTCTGGTCTTGCTTGGGCACTTCCCATGACCATCTGGTTGACCACTGTGAGAACAGGACGCTGGGGCAGACGGGCCACTGACCCGACCCATCACTGACCATCTTATGTTCTTATCAGAAAGTAAGTGAAGCCACTTGAAAATGCCACAACAAACTCCTGAAGATATTACTGGTTTATTGAAAGTAGTCATGTCGGGTGTTATATTGGAGTGGGTGAGTTGAATGATGTTTATATAGCTGTCAGACAAAGACTTGGAAGTTCTTCTTTCTTTCTTTCTTTTTATTTTTATTAATTTTCCTAATTTTCCTAATTATTACAGATCCAACCAAATTACTTAAACTTAATACAATTTCTTAAAATCAAGTTTCCTGCTCCTGTTTGCAAACATATTGAAAGCAGTTGTGCTGGGTGTTATATTGGAGTGGATGAGCTTTCTTTCTTTCCTTCCTTCCTTCCTTCCTTCCTTCCTTCCTTCCTTCCTTCCTTCCCTTCTTTTCCTCTGGATCTATATTTTTATTTTACCTAGATAAACGTCTTGGCTTGGATAAAAAAAAAAAGATAATCTTTGTATCTCTCTTTATAAAATCTAATACAATTTATTCAAAGGAAAGAAAGAAAATGCCATAGCAAATTCAACAAACAGGTCAACCTCAGTTAGTTTGCTTGGCATTGCCTTGTTTTTGCTTTGGGGAGATTTCTATTGATTTATTTGGTATTGTAGTTTTTCAGTTTCATTGATGCATATCAATATAGATGTATCTCACATCATCATGTCATATCATATTTTATCTCCATCTTTCTGTCATGTTTGTTGGTTTTGTTAAACCACTTATATACTGTCTTGGCATGAAATAGTATATAAATATTTGCAATGAATATAATGATAAAAAGTAGAAATCATGCCAAGCAAATATCTTTGCTTAAAGAGGGGAAATAGAAAATGACTGTTTGACACTGTTTATAATGTTCTTCTGTCATGGAGCATAAAAAGAAAATAATGACAAGAAGCCCTCTTAAAATGTTGTTTAATCTTGACTATATCTGGGGGCAGACCTTTGAAGTTGGCAGCGAATCTTGCCCTCCTCCTTATTGCTTTGCCTCCACCTGGTGAAAACTGAAACGTTAAATGCAATTTTCATTGGCCTATACAGTGGTACCTCAGGTTACAGACGCTTCAGGTCACAGACTCTGCTAACCCAGAAATAGTACCTCGGGTTAAGAACTTTGCTTCAGGTTGAGAACAGAAATTGTGCTCCGGCGGCGCTGCGACAGCAGGAGGCCCAATTAGCTAAAATGGTGCTTCAGGTTAAGAACAGACCTCCAGAGCGAATTAAGTTCTTAACCCGAGGTACCACTGTAATGGCCGAATGGGCAGCTTTGTACAGTCATTTTTAGGTTTGTTCGTTTTGTGTGCTGCTCCCACCACCACAACGGGAAAAGACCCACATATGAAGGGCAGTGATAACACCACTGTTGTGGCCGGCTCAGTTCCACAGAGCACACCAGTGGCAATAAAGTGGCCTTTGGTGGCTTGCATTCATGGGTGCTCTAAAAGGGAACAGAGTGGTAGAAAACGACCTTGGCATCCTCTTGCGCTCACCTGCCTCTCTCTGTGATGAGGAGCAGGCAAGGGGATTACTCTGCATGCAAGGCTCTCTGGATCATGGCCACCAAGTGAAGTGGCAGTTGAAGAAAGCAGAGTGGGTCCCATCCATGCTCGATTCCCTTTTACAGAGATTGCTCCAAGGTTCTGATATGCGATCCCAACAATGCGATCCCTTTTCTATCTTCTTCCTAGGTGTATCTTGTCTAGCCAACAGAGAGCTCTAAATATGGTCTAGTAGCAAAATGCCCATTGCTCCTGTCATCCCAGGGACACGGGTGGTGCTGTGGGTTAAAACACAGAGACTAGGACTTGCCAATCAGAAGGTCGGCAGTTCGAATCCCCGCGACGGGGTGAGCTCCCGTTGTTTGGTCCCTGCTCCTGCCCACCTAGCAGTTCGAAAGCACGTCAAAGTGCAAGTAGATAAATAGGTACCGCTCTGGTGGGAAGGTAAATAGCGTTTCTGTGTGCTGCTCTGATTTACCAGAAGCGGCTTAGTCATGCTGGCAACATGACCCGGAAGCTGTACGCCGGCTCCCTCGGTCAATAAAGCGAGATGAGCGCCGGAACCCCAGAGTCGGTCACGACTGGACCTAATGGTCAGGGGTCCCTTTACCTTTTTACCTGTCATTCCGGTTAGGCTTTGATATTTGAATTCCCTGTTCTCGCTTTTACAGCTGCACAATGAACCCCTACATCTTCTGCTATTATTTAATCCAGTTCTGCGGACATTCCTGGATATTTATCAATATGATCATCAGGTTCCTGATTTTTGGGGAAGGTAAGTCTATCCTGTTTTGACATTTAATTGATCGAATAGCTGCCTCTCCATGGAAATGGGGTCTGACTGAGAGAGTAGCCAGCAGCAACACTCATGGGCCACAAATGGGATTTCTTCTGCGTAAGTTGGACTGGAACCACAGTGAAGGACTAGTGCAACAGGGCAGGGTTCAAATCCACCAATGGCCTGAGAAAAACCAAGGCCTGTCAGCTTTCAGTTCCCTTCTGTAAATTGTAGAAATTAATGATCTAAAGACATTGTGCAGTATGCTATAGACAGAAGCAGTATTCAAATGCATTGGAAAAGATAGAAGTTTAGATATTTCATAGAATCATAGAACTGTAAAGTGACCATGAGGGTCATCTAGTCCAATTCCCTGCAATGCAGGAATCTTTTGCCCAACGTGGGGCTTGAACCCACAACCTACAACCCTGAGATTTAGGGTCTAATGCTCTGCCGACTGAGCTATCCCCAATGATGTTATATGAAGATGCTTGACTCTCCCCTATGCTATTTAAACTGCTGTGTGGCTGGGGGGGGGGCTTCCTTCTTGCCTCTTCTTCTTAAAAGGTAAAGGTAAAGGGACCCCTGACAGTTATGTCCAGTCGCAGACGACTCTGGCGTTGCGGAGCTCATCTCGCTTTATTGGCCGAGGGAGCCGGTGTACATGTGGCCAGCATGACTAAGCCGCTTCTGGAGAAGCCAGAGCAGCGCACGGAAACGCCGTTTACCTTCCTGCTGGAGTGGTACCTATTTATCTACTTGCACTTTGACGTGCTTTTGAACTGCTAGGTTGGCAGGAGCAGGGACTGAGCAATGGGAGCTCACACCATCATGGGGATTTGAACCGCCGACCTTCTGATCGGCAAGCCCTAGGCTCTGTGGTTTAGACCACAGCACCACCCGTGTCCCCTGTAGGGGCATGGAATAGGAGAAGATAATCAGCGGTGTCTTTGAAGACAGGCTGTATTCTTCTCTCTCTTTTATTTTCTTCTTTCTTCTTTATTATTTTCGGTTTAGATTAGTTTGTTCTTTATTGTATTGGAGAAAGTCTTAACAAAACTTTATAAGAAAAAGAGACGGGGGAAATCAACCGCATTACTTGGACCACATGTGATCCCACACGTATCTACACATGTTTCAGCAAAACATGCTGTCTTCATAGTGGTGACCTGATGTTTACCAAACAAGAAAGACATCAGGAGAGAGAAAGAGTTTGCAAATCCAAAGGGAACATTTATTGGAGTCTAGTCTTTGGTCTAGAATTGTCTGGAGATGTAGTCAAAGCACATACGGCAACGCTGATCCTAGGTTGTCTCTGAGCTAATTTTCTGCACCTTTTGCAAATTAAAACACCCAAATGCTGTTCCATGGAAACAAGGGCCACTGCCTAAATACAGCCCATTTCCCTTCAGAAAGTTTGCAAAAGATCTTGCACAATGTTCTTTGTTATAAATAGTAACTGTGCCACTCAGTTGTGGTTGGAGCATATTCAGAATGCACACATGCAACTTTTTATTTGTATGTTTCCTTTCCATTGCCAAAATCATGCTCAAGGCAGCTTACAACATGGGGAAAAAAATACATAAGCGCAAACATAACAAAAGTAATCGTGACAATAAATAAAACATGAAAATGTACAAAATGACATTGTCCACATAAATCATAATAAGATCCAAAATAAAGATATAAAAATTAGTATCAGTGACAGAAACAACAACACTCTCCCAGCCTAAGAGTCTGTTCAGCAGCCTCAGCTTTTGTAGCTGGAGTCAGTCAGGTCCTACCGTCCAGGTGGGAAAAGATCTGCAAGTCAGGGAACAGGTCCTCCTGGACTCACAGTCAAGATGCCAGTGTCTTCTGGCAAAATGTACCACACCACTGAACACAGTTAGTGCCAGGTAACAGTGGCCGTTTTAATTCCCTGATCTCTTAATGATGAGTGGGAGTGGGAGAGCCCAATATGAAGAGGCTGCAATAGAATGATAATCCAATGTTTTCTTTTGCTTTCTGTGGGGTGAAGATTCGGTTGCTGATACTTTCTATTCCATTGGGCTCGTGATGCGCGTTTGCCAATCTTCGTCTATCCTGGAACTTTTGCATATCCGGCTCAGCATTGCAGAAGACCATTTTCTCCTGAGGCTTTTGCAGGTACTGCATAATTCATAATTGCATGAAAGGAGACAAGGGTCAACACTTGGATCGCCATCAGTTTAGGGGGTTTAAATCCCACAAGAAATTCCATTCTCAAATTGGAACATTTGCTAACCTTGCAAAGTAAGGTAGGCATGTGGTCTATGTGTATGAAAGAGAGAAAGGGAAAGAGGGAAGAAGTGCAGGTGTGTGGGTGTGTGGGAGAGAGGGAGAGGGAGAGGGAGGGAGAGAGAGAGAGAGAGAGAGAGAGAGAGAGAGAGAGAGAAAGTTCGTATGTGCTCCTTGTGTTTATCTTCAAATTCTACAGTTGACAAAAAATTCAAACAAGCAAATTAGTAAAGTTTGTGTTTTCTTGAGCAATATTTGTCATAATTTGTTTTAGTTTAAATGGGTGGGGTCAGGAGGGAGGCCTGTGGTTTGAGGAGGAAAAGGGGCAGTTGATATCCTGTGCCCAAGGGTCCCCAGAAACATGGAGCCAGTCCTGGTCAAGGTGGCCAACTTCAGAGATTTGGTTATTACCTGCATATATCACCTTTCCTCTTAGGAGCAGAAGGTGAGGTACATGGTCCTCCTTCTGTTTTATCTTCACGGCAACCTGTGATGTGGGCATCACAGAGAGGGTTATATTCAAACCTGGTGGAAGCAGAGCTCCACACATGCAACAAGATTTCCCTTTCCATTCCTTGCATGCCCCCAAAATCTGCTCTGCAGGTGAGCAGAGAGGGTACTTCCACAGCACAAGCCGAAGTCTGTTGCAGCAGTGGAACAGCAACTCTAGATACAATCCAGAACTGGTGACTGACCTAAGGTCACCCGTGGTCCTAAATCTTGGCTGAGTAGAGATTTGAACCCGGGTTTCCCACTCTACCAAATCATTCAGTAGGGTGACTATTTGAACACCGGTTAGCAGAAAAAGAGGCCTAGGCATATTTTGAAAAGAACGACAAACTAGACAAATATCATGCACACTCTCGGCATATACCAGTGTGCTACTCCTGCGTAAGCCACTGGGCAAATCCACCTTTTGAAATACTGGCTAGAGACCAACAAGCCAAATCATTCAATGGAATAAGAATTCGTGGGGTAAAGTTCATGTTTGTTAGAACACTCAGGATGGGCGATAGGATCAACATTCCACAAGACTGAACGAGTTCTGACCTTTCAGAAGAATTTTAGGAATATACCCTTCCTCTTCAGGGAAAGAGAAATTAGAAAAGCTTATGTTTCCAGTTAACATCCCCCCTGCTGCTCAGTCACTACTGGAAAAGCAGATAACTGGTTGGATGTAATCCAGCAAACAACAGCAGCCACAAAAACAGCGGCAAGTTGCCCTGGATTCAGTGGATCTTAATCCCAAGGCAGCAAATGAGATCTTAGGTCTTCTTACTTGGCAGTGACTCCAGCCACTGCACCATGTAGGACTTCTTGTATAGGATATAACAACAACAACAACAACAACAACAACAACAACAACAACAACAACAACAACAACAATTTATTATTTGTGCCCCGCCCATCTGGCTGGGTCTTCCCAGCCACTCTGGGCGGCTTCCAACAAAGATTAAAAATACATTAAAATGTCACACATTAAAAACTTCCCTAAACAGGGCTGTCTTCAGATGTCTTCTAAAAGTAAGATAGTCGTTTATTTCTTTGACATCTGCTGGGAGGGCATTCCACAGGACAGGCGCCACCACCGAGAAGGCCCTCTGCCTGGTTCCCTGTAACCTCACTTCTTGCAGGGAAGGAACCGCCAGAAGGCCATCAGCACTGGACTGGTCCAGGTAGAACGATGGGGTGGAGACGCTCCTTCAGATATACTGGATCGAGGCTGTTTAGGGCTTTAAAGGTCAGCACCAACACTTTGAATTGTGCTCAGAAACGTACTGGGAGCCAATGTAGGTCTTTTAGGACCGATGTTATGTGGTCTCGGCGGCCGCTCCCAGTCACCAGTCTGGCTGCCGCACTCTGGATTAGTTGTAGTTTCCGGGTCACCTTCAAAGGTAGCTCCACATAGAGTGCATAGCACCATTAAGCACATCGCTATCCATTTTGGTACCTTTGGTTTCAGCAGGATTTAGGGTTATAGTAGCATATGGAGAGCCTGTGCAATGTCAACGCCATTAGAGCTAAACTGGGAGCCTTCAGATGTTTTTGGACGACAAATTCCATAATCTTCGACCACTTGCCAGGCTGACTGGAGCTGATGGGAACTGGAGCCCAACAATAACTGGAGGTCCACGAACCCTGTGTTGGAGATATAAAACGGAGCGTTTTAAAGAAGCACAGAACTGCACAGTTGGAAGGGATTCCCATGGGCAATCTAGTCCAACCCCCTTCAAATGCAGGAGTCTTGTCTTGTCATCTTCATGATGAGGAGGCTGTCCCTCGTGGAGGCTGTCTGCAGCGGTGACCTCTGTAATGCATAGCAGGGAACAACCAGTGGCTTCCTTAACTACATTTTAATGAACATCTGTATTTTAATAAGCATTGACAATATTAACAATGACTGACCGTGTGAAACCAGAACTTCACAACAGGGGCTTTGTTAACTCTCCCACTGAAATAAATGGAGCATAGAAGTGCTTAGTGGAGTTATGGACTGTCTTCCACTCCAAGCTGCCCTGGGCCAACCCAGGAAACTCAGGAACCAGCCCTGGATCCAGCCCTGAGCAGGAGGGTTCAGTTCTGCTATGTGTGCGGGTGGCACTGTGGTCTAAACCACTGAGCCTCTTGGGCACAGAAGGTCAGCGGTTCGAATCCCCATGATGGGGTGAGCTCCCATTGCTCTGTCCCAGCTCCTGGCAACCTGGCACTTCAAAACCACACCAGAACAAGTAGATAAATAGGTATCACTGCAGCGGGAAGGTAGCAAACGGCGTTTCTGTGCGCTCTGGCTTCCGTCATGGTGTTCTGTTGCACCAGAAGCGGTTTAGTCACGCTGGCCACATGACCTGGAAAGCTATCATTCCTTGCAGGAAACGTGCCAGCAGAGCATAGCCCTGCAGCCTTCCCACCCAATGCACCCACCCCTGACAACCTGGAGTCACACCAGGTCTATCTTGATCCAATTTGCCCAAGCCTGGATCCCCCTCAAAGTGGCCCAATTCAGTTCAGGATGCAGCAGAATCTGGTGCAGCCTCTTCACCCAGTGCCTTCCTCTAGATCAGCCTTTCTCAACCTGTGGGTCCCCAGATGTTGAACTACAACTCCCATCACCCCTAGCAAGCTCAGGGATGATGGGAGTTGTAGTCCAACAACATCTGGGGACCCACAGGGTGAGAACCGCTGCTCTAGATGATGATGATGATGATGATATTTCTTGTACTCAGTGTCCTAGTGTGGGTTGCGTCCTGTTGTCTTGGTTGAAGCCAAGTAGATAAAGATGCTCAGAGCAGCCTTTGCTAACCTGGTGCCCTCTGGAGATCTGAAACTACAACTCCTGTGAGCCCCGGTCAGGATGGCTGTGCTGGCTTATGGGAGTTGTAGATCAAACCACCTCAAGGGCACTCTCTTGGGGAAGGCTGCTAAGAGTATGGGAGGGTAAAGAAAGAAAGGGGTGGGTCAGAAAATCTCTTTCTCCCTCCAATAAGAGCAACTCTGCTTTTGCTGAACCTGGAGGAGAAAACACTGTTCTTAGAGATAATATGAGGTCATGAAGGCCGCGTGAGTTTTTCAGCATTCCTAGGAAGGAACACATTGAGTCATCTATTGCAGCAGGCTGTTCTTACAGTTACCAACTGGATGGTTCTTGCATTGCAGAGCATTGGGCTAGATGATCCTCATGGCCCCTTTAGGATGCACATGGCGCTGTGGTCTAAACCACTGAGCCTCTTGGGCTTGCTGATCAGAAGGTCAGCGGTTCGAATCCCCGCAACAGGGTGAGCTCCCATTGCTCTGTTCCAGCTCCTGCCAATCTAGCAGTTCGAAAGCACACCAGTACAAGTAGATAAATAGGTACCACTGCAGCAGGAAGGTAAACGGCGTTTCCATGCGCTCTGGTTTCCGTCATGGTGTCCCGTTGCGCCAGAAGCGGTTTAGTCCTGTTGGCCACATGACCTGGAAAGCTGTCTGTGGACAAACACCGGCTCCCTCAGCCTGAAAGCGAGATGAGCGCCGCAACCCCATAGTCGCCTTTGACTGGACTTAACCGTCCGGGGTCCTTTACCTTTCCTTTTACCGTGGTCCAACTCTATGATTCTATGAAATTCACAAGCAGCAGCATCCTCGCCACTTGCAATTTCCAGGAAATGGCATGCAGACGTACATTGCCTTCAACAGTGAAGGTGGAACACAGCCATCACAGCTAGCAGCCACTGATAGCCATAAAAGGTAAAGGTAAAGGTACCCCTGCCCGTACGGGCCAGTCTTGTCAGACTCTAGGGTTGTGCGCTCATCTCACTCTAGAGGCCGGGAGCCGGCGCCGTCCGCAGACACTTCCGGGTCACGTGGCCAGTGTGACATCGCTGCTCTGGCGAGCCTGCACCAGCGCAGCACACAGAACTCCGTTTACCTTCCCGCTATAAAGCGGTACCTATTTATCTACTTGCACTTTAAGGGTGCTTTCGAACTGCTAGGTGGGCAGGAGCTGGGACCGAAAGACGGGAGCTCACCCCGCTGCGGGGATTCGAACCGCCGACCATACAATCGGCAAGTCCTAGGCACTGTGGTTTTACCCACAGCGCCACCTGCATCCCTACTGATAGCCATATTCCCCCCCAAATTTGTTTAATCCTGTTTTAAAGCCACCCAAGAACTATTTGGACTATCTGCCTCAGGCACCAAAATTTATTGGGCTGGCCTTGATTTTCCATGATCTGATTCCGGAAAGGCCCCTTCTCTCCCTACTAGAAAGGCTGTGTGTCATACATTTACTGTTTTGTTTATATTTTACCCCCTTTAAAAAAAAATGTCATTTGTGGATTACACTGTGTCTGGGTTTCATTTTTTATCTTCGGGGAGCAAGGGAAAGAATTCTTTCCCGTCTGGAGCAGAAC